GTCAGGGAACAGTAGCTCATGCCTATAATCCCAGCACTTTGGAAAGCCAAGGTGGGAGGATCACTTGAGCCCAGGATTTCAAGACCAGCCTGGGTAACATAGCAAGACTCCATCTCTACAAAAAATAAAATTAGCCAAGTGTGATGGTACATGCCTGCAGTTCCAGCTACTTGGGACCTGAGCCCAGGAGTTTGAAGCTGCAGTGAGCTATGATGATGCCACTGCACTCTAGCCTGGGGTGGCAGAGCAGGACACCGTCTCTTAAAAAAGAAAAGCAAAGAAAATGAGGTCGTTGTGCAAGGGTGACAAAGAGATAGAATTGCTTTTAGTTTCTTATTTGGAAAGTGCATTAGGAGTCCAGGCTTAATGGAGGGTGGGGTGTCAGGATGTACTTCAGGCTCATCACCAGCCTTAGTTGATATCAAAGCACTTATATCTTACTTTAAAAATTTTTTTTAATTGATAGATAAAAATTGTATTTGTTTATGTTTTGAAATATTTATACATTGTAGAATGGCTAAATAGAGCTAATTAACATATGTATTACATCACGTATCTTTTTTTTGTGGGAAAACACTTAAAACCTATGCTCTTAGTGACTTTCAAGAATACAGTATATTGTTGTTAACTGTATTAACCATGTTGTACAATAGAGGTCTTGAACTTCTTCCTCCTGTCTAACTGAACATCTCCCCCACCCCAAACCCTGGTAACTACCATTCTACTCTCTGCTTCTATGAGTTCAACATTTTTAGATTCCACATATAAGAGAGAGCATATAGTATTTGTCTTTTTGTCCCTGGCTTATTTCACTGAACTTAATGTCCTCCAGGTTCATGTGATTACAAATGACAGGATTTCCCTCTGTTTTAAGGCTGAATAGTATTCCACTGTGTATATTTACCATATTTTCTATATTCCTTCCTTCACTGACCAACATGCAGGTTGATTCCATATCAAGGCTATCATGAACAGTGCTGCACTGAACATGGGAGTGCAGATTCCTCTTTGACATACATATTTATTTCCCTTTGGATAAACCCCATAGTGGGATTGCTAGTTTATGTTGTAGTTCTATTATTGAGGAACTTCCATGCTATTTTCCGTAATGGCTGCAATAATTTGTGTTTTCACTCACAGTATGCAAGGGTTCTCTTTTCTTCACATCCTTGCCAACACCTGTCTTTCATCTTTTTGATAATAGCCATTCTAACAGGTGTAAGGTGATACTTCATTGTGGTTTTAACTTGCATTTTCCTGCTAATTAGTGATATTAAGCATTTTCTTTGCATACCTTTTATCCATTTATGTGTCTTATTTTGAGAAATGTCTGTTTAGGTCTTTTGGCCAATTATTTATTTATTTAATTTTTAAATTTTTAAAATTTTAGAGACAGGGTCTCTCTATGTTGCCCAGGGTAGAATGCAGTGGTGCAATCATAGCTCATTCAATTTCAAACACCTGGGCTCAAGTGATCCTCCTGCCTTGGCCTCCCAAAGCACTGGGATTACATGCCACTATACTCAGCCTCTGTTTTTCTTAAAATTTATCTTAAGTTTGTTTTTTTATTGTTGTTGTTGTTTGAGACATGGTCTTGCTCTGTTGCCATGACTAGAGTACAGTGGCATCATCATAGGTCACTGCATCCTGAAATTCCTGGGCTCAAATGATCCTCTTGCCTCAGCCTCCCGAGTAGCTGGGAATAGAGACACGTACCACCACACCCAGCTAATTTTTAAATTTTTTGTAGAGATGGGGCCCAGGCTGGTCTCGAACTTCTGGGCTTCAGCAATCCTCCTACCTCAGCCTCCCAAAGTGCTAGGTAGGCTTACGGGCACTAGCCACCACACCTGGCCTATCTTAAGATTTTAAACATAATTATCTACATACTCATTAAAGTCATCCATATACAACTGTTTATTATTAACATTTTGATGTATATTTTTGGTCTTCTTTCGCCTATGCATAGATTATTCCCCCTTTCTTTTACAATATTATTATTATAAAAGCACTACATGAATAGATTGTCATTGTAAGTGTTTTAAACAGTGTGGTAGTGATGCGGAAAATGTTGGGCGCTGGGATGCAGCTGCTTGCCGCCTCCCTGTAGCTCTGCATCTCCGTGGGCCAGTGCTGTGTGTGGCCAGTGGAGGGCACACTGCTGGGGCCGGCCCCACGGCAGAGAGCCGCCCAGGACCCCGTGTGCCGCAGGGACCCTGCGTGCCAGAATGCCCCCGGGCCCACGTGCCGCTGCCTGCACGCTGCTTATGTGATCCTGATTGGGTAATTTTTGAATCCCACTGTTTTTGATTGGATGTTAAAGCTTGTTGTTGATTGGATGTTAAAGCTTGTAGTTGATTGGATGCTTTTTGAGCCCTACCAAGGGTATAAAAGCAGGAGCAGAAGGGGCAGAAGGGTCAGAAGATCGGAATACACAAGGAGAGCTGTAACTAGGTGTGCTGAGCCTGCTGTAGAAGAATAAAGGCTGTTCTCTGACTCTTTGTGTGCTGCTTGGTTCTTTCCCCGGTCAAACAAATAAGAGCTGTAACAAGAGCTGTAACACTAGCTGTACACATTGCCGCAACAGTAGAATACAGAGCACTACTGGAAATATTCTCTTCACCATTCTGCAGTGTCCCTCAACACACAAATTTCCTGCCCCAAAGGTAACCATTGTCAACACTTGGTGAGTGTTCTTCCAGTCACCATCCATGCGCAGGGGTGTGTATATGTACATTTATAAGAAGGGGCTCATATTCTGTGTATTATACAATGATTTCTTTTTTCACTTTTTCTAAGACACAGTATGTCTTAGAAAATCTTTCCATGTAAGGACATACAGGTCTAACTTTTTCTTTCCTTTGTAGTTGTTAATGGTTATGTAGTATTTCATTTTATGGGTAAATCTAATATTTTATAGCTTGCCTATTGATAGACATTAAGTTTTAAGTTTTTTTACTCTTATAGTGAAGCAGTCCTGTCCAAGCATATGTCTTTGCGCACATGTACAAGTATTTCTGTTGGATAGCTGCCTGGTAGTGGAATTGCTGGCTTAAAGTGAATTCTATTTTTGGTTTGATAGATGGTGCCAAACTGTCTTCCCAAAGGAATTCACCGATTTAAACTCTTACCAGTGGTGTTTAAAAGGGCTTGTTTTCCTGATCTTTACAAACATTTGATATTGCCATTATTTTCATTTTTGTCAGTCTGTTAAATGAAAAGTGGTATGTGTCTTAATTTGCATTCTTCTAGATTGTGTCTCTGTAAATCTTTCCTTGTCTGCTTTCTGCCTTTTAGTAATTCTTCAACATTGCCAGTTACTTGATGACATCTTTTTTATTTTCTTGGGGTGAATCTACGTTTCTCTATCTGTAATGTCTGTCTGTTGGTGGAGAGTGGCATATCTTTTCTGTCACTCATAGAACTTCAGACAGGAGATAGAGTGAACGTGTGCGCTCAATCCACTATCCTGATAAATTCCTCCATAGAGCCTTTCTGAGCCATAACTATACAGTATGTATAATTTTGTTTTTCAAGAGCAAAGGTACATGTTTATAATATGTTTAAAAAGAAAGAAAGTAAATAAAAATTTTTGTTTCATTTTTTCCATAATGTTATGATCTGTTTTCTGTCTTATTACATTGCAGTATAACTGGCATATAATATTCTATGCTGCGTCCAGACTGTAGTTATCATAGTGATTTCCCTGTTGATGGCTATTGCTAAAATTTTATTGTTATAAATAATGTTGCTTTCAGCATCTGAGCATAAAGTGTTTGGGCCCAGATGGTTTTATTGGTGATTCTTTGTAGTATTAGTGCTCTATGTCAATGCTTTCTGAATATAGAAATAAGTAAACAGCTACCCATCTAATCTGTGACCCAAACCTAACACCGATACCACTCAGTTACACTAGCATAAAAAGCAAAACCGTTAGACCAACTTCAGTTATGTGTATAGATGTGAAAATACTGAGTAATATACTCTCAAGTAGATACTCTGAAGGAGAATTTACCAACAGGACCATAATGGATAATGACCAAATAAAGCTTGCTCTCAGAATAAAAAAAAAAATGACTCAACATTAAGAAACTTATTGATAACAAAATATTAGGTCATAAAATATGAAAAACTGTGATTATCTCCATAGTTGCAGAAAATGCACTTAAATTAACTATGTCTAATATTTTTTGGAAAAAGAATAGGATACTTCCTTTACATGTTACAGAGTATCTACTTCAAACCATTATACTTATTCTCGTTAGAAACAGGGACAAACAAGGTTACCCTCTGCTACTTAATATTATTTTAGAAGCTCTGACTGATACAGTAAGGTATGAAACAAATAAGAATTAAGGCTTTGAGGATTAAATAAGGCCATATTTGACTTCCTTAGTATGGTATTTCTGAGTTAAATAAGACAAATTATAGATTCTGATTTTTTAAAATTACTAATAAGACATATTTACAAAGGAAAGACAAAATTGTCTGTTGCATCTTAAAACACGTATCCTGGTGTGTTTTAAATCCTGATCCTTGCTGATTGAATCGTCTTGATTATCTGGTCTGTGTTGAGTTCTCTCTCAAGCCTTTAGTCACCAGCATGGGGGTGGGTGCTCAGCACCTGTGACAGGCTGAGTGGCTTGGTCCTATGATATTTTCGATGACCTTTCAATGAGCTGTTTTTGTAATCCTGGGAGTACTCAGAAGTATGAGTCCCAGGCTGAGTGAATAATGAAGTTACAGATGAGAAGAAGGGTACAGAAGAACAGGCTCTTAAATGATGACACAGTTGTCTTGACACTTGACTGGTTCAGCAGACCACGTGTGCCCTCAGTGCTATGCAGTTCTGTAATGTGAAGCTGCTGTCCTTTATCAGGAGTCACTTGGAAATACCCCGTGTGGTTAAACACCACACAGAAATTTTTTCAAAGTAGCTAGCTGTCTCTAACGTTGGTTTGTGACTTCAGTCTGTGAAATCTCTCTTTTTTCCCTGATAGCATGTGGAGAGGTCCAAATGTGAACTGTGTTGACAGCACTGGCTACACACCCCTGCACCATGCTGCTCTGAATGGCCATAAGTAAGTATTGCTGTGCTGCGTTCCTGCCCCACCCTGGAGAACCAGGCCTTGACGTTGTCTTTTTCACTTCCTGTCAAGGTTTGCTAAGCTGTGGCACTGAGAACAGAGAAAAACAAGCCTAAATTCAGTCCATCCAGAATTCCCCAGTCTCTCTCCAGTGTATAATTTAGATATATTTCCACACCCCACCTTTAGCCAAAGATTAAGTTTTAGCTTTTCTTCTGCTTGTTCTTTTCCCCTCTAGAATGTTCCAGTGCCACATAATGATGTAAGTATGAAGATCAAATTTGGGGCAGCCAGAACATAAAGGGGCTGGAATCTATTAGGTAACTCACCCCTAGATAAACTGAAGATAGACTGAGTAGCCATGAGAAACTTGTTGTCTTTTAGTTATTTATTTCCTCCGTCTTCTTGCCTACCATTCTTTCCTCATAAAATTAGCCCTCTAGACAAGAGCCATTTTTAAAGGGAAAAAATACATAAAATGGCCTATGTAATTATCTTAAATATAGAGAGGGTATTAGGAATCAGGTGGGATTTGTGTGGAAAGTGTTCTGGAGCAGGTGTGCGTTGGGGGAGGTCGAGAGGGGCATAGGCCTACATCACTGGGGAGTTGCCCTTCCAGTGGCAAGGTAAAGGGGCAGGCGTGGTCATGGGGCACAGTGTGTGGCTTTGCCAGGATGTTGAAGAATAAAAACCAGAGTGTATCCAAATAGAGGGTGTTAAAGAAAACAAAGTACTATAGGAGATAAGCAGTAGGAGTTTCGTTTTTATAAGGAGGGATTATTTGAACCATTTTAGATTTTTCTGAGCAAGGAGCAGGGCCTTTGCCACCTTACTATATCGCTTGTCCAATATTTGGCCCAGTCTGATTGACTCCAAGATGCCAAAAAGAGGCAGAGGTTGTTTTCTTCAACATTAAACTTTTCTAACATATATTGAATGTAAGTTCAATATATGAATATGAATATAAGTTCAGTAAGTTTCTATCGCCATCTTAGATAAAGCTAAAAAGAAATCTGTAGTGACCCCATCTCACATAAATGGTGAGGTAACCTAAATTAAAGTGAATCTTGAACTTAAATGACTGTAGTTTGTCAGCCAAGTTCATCTCCAGATCTGTCTTTATTTACAGTGGAGAGTTTCTTTGACCCCATGTGCAGAGGGGTAATTATACACTTAAGTCTGTTAAATTAGAAGTATCACCAAGAGGAAATCCAAGTCCCTCTTTCTGGAGGCATCAAATGATACCATGTGTGTCTGGCTTATATTTGCACACAACTTTTCTTCTGCCTTGCCTCTCTGCTTTCTGCTCCCACATCTCTAAATGCTCTGAATAATGTGGTGAATAATGATATTTGTCTTGTGTGACTGCTTTTATCCAAATTCTATCCCTGAGTGCTGTTTAAACAACACAGAAAAGGAAACATTGTAAGGTTTCGACTAGGAATCCAGACATTTTCAAAGTTGAGGAAAATAGATTATCAAGAAAGTCTAAACAGGGAGGTGAGGAGTCAGCTTAGCATGACTCAAGATGGTTCTTTCTTGCAGGTAATATTGGGCAGGGGGAAAAAAAAAGATGGTTCATTTTCCTAACAGCAGCTGTACAAGTAGCTCATGGAATAAAAGGAAAAGCTTGGGCTATGCGCTCAGGTGGAGACAGGGGAGTCAAATGAGATAATATCTGTAAAAGGGCTTTGTGCTGTACAAATGTGAAGAGCTGTTAGCAAGAAACACTTAGGAGTTCTGCAAACTGATGATTGATTTTTGCCTTCTAGGGACGTGGTTGAAGTTCTTCTGAGGAATGATGCGCTGACCAATGTGGCTGACTCTAAAGGCTGTTACCCTCTGCATTTGGCAGCCTGGAAAGGAGATGCCCAGATAGTGAGGTTGCTCATCCATCAAGGGCCTTCACACACCAGAGTCAATGAACAGGTCGGAAGGAAGGGAGGTTTTTCTCCCTCCATTCAGCTGCAGCCAGATGTGGCAGCCCTATCACCATCTCAGTCCAATAACTGAAATCTCAGGGAACCAGCTCTTCCATACCCTAACTGTGACTCCCCTCTTCCCAGTTTTACTCCTCTTAGTGTTTTGAGGACAAGTTATACTGCAAGGATGCATTTTATAAGCATTTGACGCCTGCAAATTTGGAATAGTACTGTAATAAAAATATACAAAGCAGGCCCTTTGTATCTGCTTATCAAACTATATCAAACCCAAGGATATGAAGGGCTAACTAACTGTACTCACTTTATGTGCAAACATTTAAATAATGTGAATCATTTAAAATTGCATAGTCAATTTCAAACTTGTGGGCTTAATTAATTGTAAATTGTGCTTATGCCGTCGACATGGCCATGCAGCTTTCCCAGTGTTTTTCCGTACTGTGAGAACCATGCTGTTTTACATACAGTAGAACTTGCAGAAGTGGAAGTATGCACGCTAGTGCTGTGAAATGAACTCACAGATCAGAAACACGTGAGTGGAGGTCAGAGGTGATTCGGTGGAATGAAGATCATTTCCATGATGTCCTCTGATGTTAATTTAAGAGTGAACATGCTTTGAAAAAGCAGAGATAATTCATAGAAAATAAAAAAGGCAGGATTTGGGCAAAAATAACCTTATAATGGCCATGGATTTAGGTACTCTGAGAATAATCCTCCTCTTCTTCACATTTATTCCTTTGAGAAAATTATACTTGAATTATCCAAGTTTTAGACAAGCCTCTTATAAGTCCCTATCGTTTGGGTTGGAGGTTCTGTGCCAGTATGAAAGGAGTTGGGGTTTCCTTATGAAACAAGCCATTCTTTTTCCTGTCTGCTCTGAACCGAAGCAGGTACTTTTCTCAGTTGCTTGGTTGAGGGAGATGCTGGTCTTTCTCAATAAGCTTAAGACTATTTTCCTAATGACTTTGCCAAGAGGAGATTATTAAGTTACATGTAGAATTAGATCAAGGTTTTTCTTCAAAAAATAAGAAATCATCCTGGCAAGTCCATCATCAACAAGACACATGCAGTTCTCAGTGAGCTGTTAAAAGCATGACCTTGATTCTGAGAAGGACAGCTTCATTCTGAGGTGTGAGAACATTAAAGCAGTGCTCCCAAATCTCTCCATTTGGAGATTGTGTGTACATAGCTGTTCATCAGCTTCCCTTCTCCCTTTGGGCTGTATTTTCTGGGTAGGTGAGCAATAGACATTTAAGATTGTCAATGAGGATGTTTGTTTATAACATCTGGGAATGAAAGTTGTTTCTTTAGAATCTAAATGCAATTTTATTCCTCCTGGCTAAAGTGGTCATTTCTCTTCTCTGGAGGAAATGTATAATGAAGTTTGCTTGTAACTAATAGTCTTCAATGTTGAAAAAACTGCTACACCCATTAAAGTCCTCATTTAAGAAATTTTCAGCAACCATTTCTAATCCTGTCTTTGTTCACGTTTGCCTTGGAACACAGCTGCTTGGAGTTTTGAGCCACTTGAGTATGCTAGCTTAACCTGCTCACAGCTGCCACCTGCCTGGAGTATCTGTTGATAGGTGGGACACCAGCCCAGTGTTTTGAGTATCCGGTGGGCAGGGGCTGGGCAAAATGTCCACAATAGCGTGAAGACCTTAATAGATCTAAGTAGTGGTTATGACATTGATTTATTTAAAAACAATTAACGTGGTGCAGTTGGATGCTTGCATTAAAGGGGATAACAAGCGAGGTGCCCTGGAGGTTGTCTTCCCCATTAACTTCCCTCTGAGGCATCCAGCAGGCAGATCCAAGTTGTTCTAATGTCGGACCCCCACGGGGCTGTGTATTGCTTTGATATATTTCATCCATTTTATCATCACATTTTCTTTTCCTCTCCTTTTTGTAGAATGCTCTTGAGATCAAAGAATTCAAAAAGTACGGCCCCTTTGACCCTTATATCAATGCCAAGGTGTGTACTTTGCTGCCAGGGTTTCTCTGCATCATTTCTCCAAGCTGCACCTCCTCTTTGGCCCTCTCTGGCTTCCACTCTTGTCCACTCAGGCTCTCCTCATCACCCTAACTCTTGCCTGCACCAGCCCATCTGCTTTTGGCTTGTCTGGGAATGGGAAAATGCAGCTGCAGTGGGTTTTGATTTTATTTTTAAAACCCATACTAATTTGGGAAAGGTTGGGCACTTTTTCTGGAATATCTAAAGTGGCAGGAATGAGGAAGTAGAAGGGACCATATTATATGCTTTATTTACTATTATGATTTTTAAAATAATTTAAATTTTTAAAAACAAAAGCTGTCAAACATATTAGCTTACTTTTTACTAAGCACAGAAAAAATGATTCAATTGTGCTTCCTGGAATTAAATTTTTTTTAGTTTACTTTCTACATGTCTTTTGAAATTGAATCTGATTTTCTTTCAGGTTTCAATAGCTAATGGTGGAGATATGGGGGAAAGGAAATGGGTGACTCCGTTTTATTCTTTTAAAAGCTGTTGCTTGCCTCTCCCTCTCGTTTTCTGGAGTGTGTGCGTTTCTGCCTGATGCTGTAAAGCTGCAGTCCGGTCTCTCCAAGCTGTTAGCTTCTCTCTCTGCTTGATCACTCTTGGCCCATGAAGGGCTCTGAAGAAGGAAATGGCATTGCAGGAGCAGGCAGGGCACTTGCCTTGAGCCTCCGTCCCTGTGAGGCGGGGGCAAGTGTGGTCTGATAGACCTGGGGACGTCTGGCCCTCTGGCCCTCCCCACATCAGAGCAGCAAAGCTTGTCAATTGGATGGCGGTATTTCCTCAGTGCTCTCACCTGCTGCTCTGGATGGGCGATTTTACTCTGGTGAAGCTTGCTTTTTGGCAGCAATCTCCAGTTTGCTTGAGACAGTGCATTATCCACATTAGCTGCCTTGTACATACTCTAAATGTAGCCACCTCAGGGAAGGGAAACACAAGGCACTTCTCTGTGTTTCCAAACTCAACGCAGATACTTCATGCTTTTCTTTGAGAAATACTGATTTAGCAAACGAAGCTCCCTGTGGGCTGGACCTAGGCAGGCCTTTAGGTTTTCTTCAGCTGTTGGGCCTTGATAGTGGAGAAGCAGTTTGGCCTGAGGTGGTGGAACACTTCAGCTCTGCTTTGGCACACTCTTTAAATTGTATTTTCTAATCTTCTGAATAGGAAGATAATCTTACTTAGCTGTCTTTGTTTTTGTGGGAGGTAAATAGAGCGTTAGAGCACAAAACTGCTAAGTTATAGGCTTTCATGACGGACCTGAGTGAGACTTCTGGGCTAACACTGGTTTTGTGCACTTAAGCAAGTTGCTTGGTTTCTCTGAGCCTCAGTCTCCTCTGCTGCAAAATAGGGTACCACCATCTACCTTGCTGGATTGTTTTAAGTTTAAATAAGATAATGTACATAAAGTAGAAATATCTGGTAACTGTATCTGGTAACTAATATTTGAGGTTCCTAATTCTTAAAAGTGTATATACTGTATTCCTGAAAAGGCATTTTGGAATCTGTTCTTCTTACTAGGAGATGATGCTTAAGGAAACATTGCTAAGTTAATCTGTATAGGGTTTCCTTTTGTGGGGAGGGACCTTAAAGTGATTATTTTCCCGCTCAGTTTAGTTAACTTATAAAGCTTTGGTTAAAGGGTAAGACTCTGGATTTGTTTGTTTGCTTCTTGAGACAGTCTCGTTCTGCCACCCTGGGTAGAGTGCAGAGGTGTCATTATAGCCAACTACAACCTCAAACTCCTGGGCTCAAGCGATCCTCCTACATCAGCCCCACCCTGCCTCCTCTCAGTAGCTGGTACTACAGGCACACGCCATCATGCCTAGCTAAATTTTTCTATTTTTGATAGAGACAGTTTCACTCTTGCTCAGCCGGGTCTTAAACTCCTGACCTCAAGTGATCCTCCTACCTCAGCCTCCCAGAGTGCTGTGTGAGCCACCGTGCCCGGCCGAGACTTTGGTTCTTAAAAGTACATTTTCCTATCTTTTAATTTTGCACACATAAAAGTAAATTAAATATAGTAAGAATATTCTTCTGTCTTTGGAAATTCTGCAATTTGCCTTTTTCCCTATACCCTGAAAGGCCAAATGATGCAAACTACATTAAGGGATAAAGCTAGATTCTGAGAATGCAAACCCTTCTTAAACTCATTCTAATATTGGATTTTCACTGATCTGGCTATGTCTAGAAATTGTTTTTGATAAAATGCTTTTGAGTGCTAAGTTCCACCAGGCAGCTGTAAAGATTAAGGTGTCTTTTTTGGAAGTTATTTTCCAACAAGTGAATGTGAACCAGCCAAATGTAAATCATCCTTAGCTAAGGTAAAACTATGAAAATTGGTTAATTTCCCACTTTTTAAAACAATTTTAACTTAGTATGAATATCATAAAATGAGCAATGGTCAAATTACTATTAGGGAAGATCTAGTTTTTTTACACTTAAAAAATAATTCAGTCTTATAGCTGGAAGGGACTTGGAGTTTTATCTAGATTGTCTCCAAATGCAATCAGCTTGTCTGGTTTCATCAGAATCACCTGGCAAGCTTTTAAAAACTTTATTTTGAAAAAATTTCTAACTTATAAAAAGTTGTAAGAATAACACAGTGGAACTGCAGTTCTTATTACTCTGCTTGTTAACATTTTACTACATTTGCTTTTTCTCTTTGTGTGTGTGTGTGTGTGTGTGTGTGTAAAATTGTTGTAGCTGATGATGAACTGAGATTAAGTCACGGACATTTTAACTCTTTAACCCTAATTACTTCAATTTAGTATTAGGTCTTCAACCTAAATCTCCTAAGAACAAGACAATTCACTATAAAAACTACAATATAATTATTAAATCTAGAAAATTCAACTTTTTTTTCTTTTTCGAGATAACTGTCTCACTCTGTCACCCTGGCCGGAGTGCAGTGGCATCATCACAACTCACTGCAGTCTCAAACTTGGGCTCAAGCGACTCTCCTGCCTCAACCTCCCGAGTAGCTGAGACTACAGACATGCACCACCACATCTGGCTAAATTTTTCTAATTTTAGTAGAGATAATGTCTTGTTCTTGCTCAGGCTGGTCTTGAACTCCTGACCTCAAGCGATCTCCTGCCTCAGCCTCCCAGAGTGCTAGGATTATAGGTGTGAGCCACCTTGCCCAGCCAGAAAATTCAACATTGATACAATATTGTTATCTAATATAGGATCCATGTTCAAATTTTACCAATCATCTCAATAATGCCTTTTAGAGCTTTTTTTTTTTTTTTCTGGTCCAAGATCCAATCCAGGATCAGACATAATGTGGAACAGTTCCCTAAGCCTTTCTTAGTCTTTCATGACATTGACATTTTTAAGAGCATAGCCTAGTTGTTTTCTAGACTGTCCTTTAGTTTAGCTTTGTCTAATATTTGCTCAGGTTATACATTTTTGGCAGGAATACCACAGAAGTGATATTAGGTCCTTTGTAGTACATCATAGCACAACGTACATGACGTCAGCTTGTCATTCTTTTTTTTTTTTTTTTTTTGAGACAGGGTCTCGCTTTGTTGCCCAGGCTAGAGTGAGTGCCGTGGCATCAGCCTAGCTCACAGCAACCTCAATCTCCTGGGCTCAAGCAATCCTCCTGCCTCAGCCTCCGGAGTAGCTGGGACTACAGGCGTGCGCCACCATGCCCGGCTAATTTTTTTTTCTATATATATTAGTTGGCCAATTAATTTCTTTCTATTTATAGTAGAGACGGGTCTTGCTCAGGCTGGTTTTGAACTCCTGACCTCGAGCAATCCGCCCGCCTCGGCCTCCCAGAGTGCTAGGATTACAGGCGTGAGCCACCACGCCCGGCCAGCTTGTCTCATTCTTGATGATGAAATGAAGCTGGTTTGAGAACCACTGAGCTAGACCAGCTTTCTATCCAGACCAGAAATATTTTTCTTCTATTGACCAAAAGGTGGGCCATTTATTCCTTATTTTATTCATTTGTTTGTTTTTCCTAATAACAAAATTCATTACTTGGTAGCCTGTTTTTGGATTCCATTGATTTTCAGTTTCTTAAGTTTGGTTGACATCTGTCTTCCTAAATCTTCCATCTTTTGGTCGGAGTTCTGCTTTCCAGAGCATTACAGAGTAAGTCTAGCTCTTCTTCCACATAGTGGACTCGGTTCTCATATTTCTCCTATGTTGTCTCAATCTCAGTAGACCCAGTTTTTCCTTTCTTTTCAGTTATGACATGGTAGAACCTATACTTTTGTTGCTGTCGAGAGCTGTAGGCTAGCTGTCCCTATGTTGGGCATCTGTCAACAGTGGATAAGTGTACGGTGGGTTGGGTTATAATCTAAACACTGGGAGGTGATAGTCCTGAAATAGTTCCAAGAAGAGAAAGGCTATGGAAATGTTTCTGTACAATTATCTACTGTCCGTAGTAAAGCATCTATATAATGGGTTTATACATTGAGTGGAGTTTCCATATTTAAGGGGTACACATAGGGATCCCTACTTAGAAGGACTGACCATGGCAAGGAAAAATGTAAGTGAGTTGCAAGATGGGTAGGAATGGAGAGTTTGTGCAAAGGCTTTAGGGAGAATGTGGGTATTGCATTTCCCCTTCCTCAGTCCAGACTCATAGTAATATGATTCTGGAACTCTTGAGGTGTTATAAGCACCTGTGGTATGATTTGGAAGGTGTAAAAAGGAGAGAGTATAAAAAGGAATCTGTGCTTCTCCTTAGAATACTTCTCTTTCCTGTGGGTCCATGAATCAGCACTTCATAATAGTTTCCTGGGCCTTACGCTCTGAGGTGCTACCTTGGCAAATCTGGGGTTGGACCTCCTACTAGTTATTTTTAAGCTCCCATCTTCTATGTAATTCCAAAATGAAGCTTGTTCGAGAACCACTGATAGCTTCTGCCCTGACAGTTGTCAGGTTCAAAGGAGAAACCGTACTAAGAGGTCATTGTGAGGGCCTGTGTTCAGTGGTAGAAAGATGTGGTCACCACAGACATAAAATGAGTATTATTGTTACCAGACTATGTCTGGTGAGACTGAAACCTAAGTAAGATGCTCCCTGCACTGTGCATATCAGCATAGCTTTCTGTGGAGATGTGGTTAGACCATTTTTAACACAAGGCAGGAAATTTACCAGTACTAATCAAGACCTGGCCTTTAGCAGGGTAGCTTTGTGGCAGCTGCCTTCATTCTGGCAAAAAAGAAATAGAGAAGACTTTTCTTTCTTTCTGACAGAGTCTTACTCTGTCACCCAGGCTAGGGTGCAGTGACACCAATTATAGCTGACTGTAACCTTGAACTCTTGGGCTCAAACAATCCTCCCACCTCAGCCTCTCCAGTAGCTGGAACTACAGGCGGGTGCCACCACGCCCAGCTAACATTTTAAATTTTTTGTAGTGGCGAAGTCTCGCTATGTTGCCCAGGCTGATCTCAAACTCTTCACCTGAGTGGTCCTCCCCGCCTCAGCCTCCCAAAGTGCTGGGATTATAAGTGTACGCCATCTTGCCCAGCCTTTTTGTTTTTTTCTTGCTGAATGGTTTAGAGTTTTACAGTGCTTTAGACCCTAATGGTATACTTTTTATAAAATCAAGACAAATTATTCTGGTTTTTGGAAGACAACTTGGACATAAAGGATACAGTAGTATTTGCTTCTGAGTAAACAGAAGTTTTTCTGGATTGGAGTTTTAATAAGAATACGCTAACTTTCTTGGCCCTTGCTGTCACACGAACCTTGAGATGTAAAATCCAAAGAATCCTCTTAAACTTCTTCAGGTTTCCACACAGCCCCAGAATCACTGTACAGAAAGATCTTGTGAGTTTTTGTTGATGTAGCTGTCCTTTCATCATGAGAAAGTGAAGTGACAAGTCTTAAGTTTGCTCAGGGAACTCATGTCTTAGTTTAATAAGAAATGGACATTCTAAATGAGTGTTCCATAGGGTTTGTTTGGCACAGGGAACCTCAGGGGCTTGCTTTTTGCCCGGCATTTCTCCTTGCTCCAGACTTTTAGGTTGCTGTGGGACTCGCTGCTGGGGGCCCAGCTGTATAGCAGGAGGCTGTTGCTGGCAGGCTGTGTTCCGTGGCCAGGGAAGGCTGTCTGCACTTTCTCGGCAGCTGCCCTCTTTGAGCTGTGTTTGAGCTCCGTGAAGCTTCCTGTGTATCTCTGTTTATCTGTGTGCATTAATCTTTGCATGTGGCTCCTGCTACCACCTTTTTCTGTCCTTATTTCATTTTTAAATTTTTCTTTGCCATAATTCAGGCCTTTTGGGGCCTTCGTCCCAGCAGCTCTGGATCTTTCTGGTATACTTGGTATAGCTGGAAAAAAATGATGCAGTCAAATGCCAGATCAAAAGCAGATGGAATTGCATGCATGTTTGGGTAACTCCTAATCTGTTACTTTTAATGTTATTAATAGAATTAAAGTAATTGTAGAAACATTTAATTTTTACCTTTTGACCAGTGAAAGGTGCACAATATTGACTTGATGCACAAACCCCCTCTTAAGTTTGTTTCCCAAAAGTTACAGAAGCCTCCTGGCTAAATTCAGGACTCTCAAATCTTGTGGGAGAATTATTTTCATTAGTGCTTCTCAAAAGGGAGAGGTCATGGAAATAATTTTATTTCTCCTCTAATTATACGTTGTCAGTAGTAGTAAAAGAAAGAGCACAATTGGAGTGACTAACATTTTGCTACTGATGGTTGATAAAGCAAAAAATTCTCCCATTTTATCCTAGATTCTGTCTTTCGTTTGAAACAAAATTGGCATTAGAGGACTATGAGTTATAAGTTTGAATAGATGATAGTGTTACATTTGAATATTTTGCACCTCTCATACAAAACATTCCAGTGTCTGATTGCATCTTTTTTACATGAGAAACCCCTCCCCGAGCTGGCTGCTGTTTTAATGAAGTAGCTGCTGCATGCCTGGTCGGTACAGGCGCCTGGAGGCCGCTCAGTGCAGTGCAGGGGCCCTGCTCGCCATGACTGAGCCCCAGTGCTTCCCTCCCCTGGAAGTGGCTGTTTGGCTGATACCTGAGAGTGATTTTGGTGCTCTGCTGTGTTCCTTTCATTGTTGGCTGATTGATTTGCATGCAAGAAACTACACAGATGACAAACTTTTTTAAAAAAGCTTATGTGTGAGGCAGTGGATGGCTGACAAATCCAGAACGAGAACCACAGGGTTAAACAAGTATAAATTGTTGTAAAACCACTTGAAGTTTAAAATGCAACAGTGGCAGTGATATTATTGGTGTTCATCTGTGCCAGGGCTTCTACCAAATGTTCACTCTCCTTATAATCTGGAGACACTTCCTTCGTGGCACACAGGGGACTGCCAATGCCTAGGAGATGGCTGCTCCCCTCTTGTGGTTACTGGGAAAGGATGTGGCTGATTGGAGCAGTCAGGCTGGTGTGGGGAAATACGCCTAGATTCTCACTCGTATTAGTTCCCAAGTATTACTGCTATTTTTTCATTTGAATTTCAGTGGTTTTACATGTGATTGTCCCAGTCAGGTGCCAGTGTGCCAGTTACCTTTCTGATGTGATCTACTTGTTAACCCTTTAGAACAATGACAACGAAACGGCCCTGCATTGTGCAGCACAGTATGGCCACACGGAGGTGGTGAAGGTGCTCTTAGAGGAGCTTACGGACCCTACCATGCGCAACAACAAGTTCGAGACACCTCTGGACCTGGCAGCACTTTATGGGCGACTGGAGGTGGTGAAGATGCTCCTCAATGCGCACCCCAACCTCTTGAGCTGTAACACTAAGAAGCACACCCCTCTGCACCTGGCAGCAAGGAACGGCCACAAAGCCGTGGTCCAGATCCTCCTTGATGCTGGCATGGACAGCAACTACCAGGTAGCAGGGTGGGAGTTTGCGCCTCCCAGCCTTCAGGGGATTTAGTCAGTTTGGAAAGGGCACAAGACCGTGCTGCTGGGCTGTGTTCTTTATTCAGCACGTTTCACATCATGTTGCAAATGCTTCCATTGTTGACTCGTTTTAATGTGAAACTTTAGAAACAAATGAACTCCCTCAGTGAGTCTATTTTTTTGTTTGTTTCTTTTCAGGGTATAATATGTAGTCATTAAACTCTGAAAAGATGTGCTTATGGACTATCTCAGAATTAGAAAAGTTTCATTATCTTCCTTTACGTGTGTACCCACTGCCACCGTTTAACACCTCCAAGGTCACATCGACCCGATACTGCGCCAGGAGACTTAGCCTTCCTATTCAGATGAATGATTCCTTGGGCTTGGCGTTGACCAAACGGCATTTAAAGTGAAGGTGTTTTTCTTCCCTTGTACTTGTCCGCTCATTGCTCCTTCCATCTAGGAAGGTAGAATTTTGAGGAGTCTGACCAATAGGTGGCTCTAAAAGTAACTGTGTCCTTATTCACATGTGGCCTGCTGGTGGCACACACACAGCCTTGGTGTGTGGGCCATGATCATGGTTTTGGAATCCATATAAGAAAAGTTGGAAAGATAATGATAGAGGGCTTTGTGTGGTTTATTTTATTTTGTGCCCCTTCTCATCTCTGTCCCGTTTGTCGTGTGAAGCCACACCAAACTGTTCTGATGACATCCTGCTCTGCGCTCTCGTTTGCTTTCCAGACGGAGATGGGCAGTGCTTTGCATGAGGCTGCTTTGTTTGGCAAGACCGATGTGGTGCAAATCCTGCTGGCTGCAGGTGAGAGGTCGGCAGTGCTCTTGTCTACACCGCATGCCAGGGTGGGGATTGTTTCTCCCTAACCTCCCCAGAGGAGGATTTTTGCTGGCTGCATTTTGAACCCAATATGTGTGTCTCTACCGGTTGATTACAAATGTGTCAATTGTTCTTGAATAGCTGGATTAAATGGCTTTGGATGAAAAATGTTGGTCATGCTGCTGGGAGCCTTAGGTGTCCTTGAATTTGACCTTCTTTGTGCCTGGCTTGAAAATGCTTACTCCCCTGGTCCACCTGGTGTGCCTTTTCTAGGAATTGATGTCAACATAAAAGATAACCGTGGACTGACTGCTTTAGACACTGTCCGGGAGCTGCCTTCTCAAAAGAGCCAGCAGATAGCAGCACTAATTGAAGGTATCACTCCATCTCTCTGTCTGGGTGACCAGGGGACACTAACCAAACCTAGGCATTTGTATTTGGTGCAGCTTTTAAAAAAAAATATTTCCATGTAGATCATATGACTGGAAAAAGAAGTGCAAAAGAGGTGGATAAAACTCCCACACCCCAGCCACCTCTCATCTCCAGTTTGGACTCCGTATCACAGAAGTCTCAGGGTAAGGTAACTCTTCTCTGCCAGTAAAGGGGCACTCAGTTTGAAAAGAATTGAACATTCTTGGGCAGAATGGAAAAATCTCAAATAATTTAGGAGGGTGTTAAGTACTTAAGTTTATCTTTGGGTTTTTTTTTCCCCCACTACTATATCAAGTTTTACTGGATATGGTTTAGGCCTTTCCCTACGGGCTGCTTATTTCCTACTTTATTTTATTATCCATTTTTACTGCTCTATGAGATCTACCCTGGGATGCATAATAGAGAGAATCATCTCAAGGTGAATTTAGATCTCTGTGAAACCTTTTTCTAATACACTGTAGTGCCTTATGCATAATTGACCCACAGTAAATATTAAATGAGTGTCATCTGATTGTTGTGCATGGCAGATTTTGGTAGTGCATCACTTGGCAAATAAATTTGGTCTGTATGCAGGTGTAGGCAGTCCGGCCTATCCATTATTAGTATCCACCTTTTTATTAATAGATTTATTGAGCAGCCTTTTGGGTCCTTAATATAATGAAAGACAAAGACTGACTGAAACTTTTCCCCAAATATACAATAAAGAAGGCTAGAAAAACAGAACAAAGCTAAAAATGAAAAAGGGAAAGGAATTTTTCTAGAAGAGTGCAGAGATGTAAGGGTTAAAGTGTGCCCAGCCTGTCTTCACTGTGGATTCCTTGTTCCCCCCCCCAAGCACTTTTTTTCTTGATGTTATAATCTGCTAGTAATGGGATTAGTCATTCACTAAACTCCTAGCTTTCAAGGATTTTGCATTAATGATTTTGACTGTTTGAAAGTGACCCAGAGATGCCTTGTCTCTAACAGTAATTTTGCAGAGCTACCAGTTTGGATCCCAGCATCAGTCAGGTTTCTGAGGGTGTTAGTTAGCCAGCAAGGGAGGCTGACAGCGGGACAACGCCCCTGTCTCAGAAAGGCTGTGCTGTGTTCCATGTTGCCTGAGCACATGGAGGCTCGTATTAAAGAATTTAAAGGATTGCTTAAGTTTTTCAGTTACATGTTGTTGCATTTTATGGGTTATGTCTACGCTATCATGTGTTGAGGTATTTGGGGATTTTGAGGTCTTAGGAGGTACCTCTTATACATGTCAAGGGTTTTCCATATTGGATTAGAGAAAAATCTGTTCAGATCTCAGGGTATAAAGAACAGCTGAAACTCTTTCTCCCCATCCATGGAGGAAGACAATCGTTTTCCTGCTCTGGGATAGTGTTAGAATTTAGGTGGCGGAAGCGGCTTTGGGCGGCTACAGTGGTTGGAACCCGAGATTGTGCTCCCCTTTTATTGACTCTCTTGCCCTCCAACCTCCCCTTCAGGTGATGTGGAGAAAGCAGTGACTGAACTGATTATCAATTTTGACACAAATGCTGAAGAGGAGGGTCCCTATGAGGCGCTGTACAACGCTGTCTCCTGCCATTCGTTAGACAGCATGGCCAGCGGGCGATCGTCTGACCGAGACTCCGTGAACAAGGAGGCCGAGGCAGCAGGAGTGAGAACTGCTGGAGTGAGGCCTGTATGTGGCCCGGGCCCTGACCTCCTGGGGGCTGTGTTGGCTGGTGCCTGTGCCGCGGGGGCCCTGGGGAGAGCAGTGTGACCCTGGTGCTGCTCTTGTGTCAAAGGCCTGGGGCCGGCTCCTTCTGCTCTTCCTCGCGGGGCTCTGCCGGGTCTCTCTCGCTCAGTGTGGTAAACTACACGGACTGTGTTGAGGTAGAGTTTTGGTTTTCCCAATTTCAGTATAACCAGTTTGCATCTTTCCATTACTCCATTGGCCTTAGAGCAAATTAAAGCATTTTATTTCTATGTAGCCTTAGTGCTGCCTTTGAGATCTTTGCTGTGTATTGTCTGTTTTCTCTCTGGAAAGTAGAAGCATACAGTGGAAGAAGCTCACTGAAATGATTTCCTGTCTATTCCAAGGACACACTCACCATCCATTTGCCCTTGAGGAACTGGAGGGCAGGTTGTATATTCAGCAGAGTTGTAGCAAGGCTTAAGCAGATACTGTATTTATTACTTTCTGGTGTTCTGGCTTTATCCAATTATAACGGCCTCTGGCCGTTGCGCTGATAGGATGAGAACAACTCTGAGTTTTTCCTTCTCAAGGCCCACCTTCCCATCTTACTGCTTCTTTCTCTAGAACAGATGCTCCTCACCTTCCAGTGGGATTACATCCCAGTAAACCCATCATTAAGTTGAAAATATCATAAGTCAAAAATGCATTTAATGCCAGAGATGCAGGTTGAAATCACACATGAAAAAAATGCATTTCATGCATCCCACCTACTGAACATCGTAGCTTACTTAGCCTTGCCTACCTTAAATGTGCTCAAAACACATTAGCCTTGGGCAAAATGAGCTAATACAAAGCCTATTTTATAATAAAGTATTGGCTGTCTCACATGTATTATTGAATACTATACTGAAGGTGAAAAACAGAATGGTTGTGTGGACACTGGAAGTATGGTTTCTATTGAATGTGTATCACTTTTGTACCATCGTAAAGTTGAAAAATTGTAAGTCAAACCTTCCTAAGTCAGGGACCATCTGTACTTGCTTTACCTTCCAGTCTTATACGTTGTCCTACAGACTCCTGCCCTGTCTTCTTCCCCAGGGTAATGCTGTGAGTCTAGACCTCAGTCACTGATCCCACTGACCTGCCTTCCTGCAGTGCCAGGCATGATTATTTCAGGTTTTATGCACTTCCCCTTAGCTAAACTCTGTTTAGCTGACCCCATTGCTGACCCAGTGCTGACCCCATCTTGGGACATATTTTCAGGTATATGTTATTTCTTCGTGAAGAGGCTGGCCTTTCCTTTTTCGTCTGAATCTGGCTTGTGACCGTTTTGATGATCTTTTGGCTATTGGGTCATTCTTGGTCTTTTTAGGTGTGCCTGGGGAGTGGCTGATGACTCTTGGAGTGTTCTTTTTTTTTTTAGGCTCATTACCCTACCCTGCTCTGCCCTGAAATGGTCTCAACATTTTAGTATGGATCTTGGAAAGGCCCACAGTCTACTTATAGCCCACCAGAGTGGGTGTTATTAAGCACTGTGACAAAACTTCTCATGAATAGTGAAAGCAAGTACCTATGCCAAGCACCACTAGCATAGTGTTTCTATAGATAGAGATAGTTTTTGTCACTTCTTTCACTGTTAGGCACAAATGATTTAAGCAAACCCAGCTGTGGAGGAAAGCTTTGCTTTAATGGATATTTACAGGTGATGTCCGTTAGGGGGAGCTGGAGCCTTTGCAAAAAGCAGCTCAGGGTTGCTGTTAACTGAGTTCCTGTGATTGATTTACACAAGTCTCTTTGTTCCATCCCACTCTAGGAATCAGCCTCCTATGGGCTTGCTAAGTAGAAACGGATGGGTATTGGGATGCATGCTTTGCCATTTTTACTTGTGTGGGTTGTGGCTGTGCTGTTTTCCCGGTCCTTGGTAATTAGCTATGGCCAAGGGACTGTTCTACATCTTAGTAAACATAGTGGATGGTGAAAATCATCTGCTCTGTACTTCCAGGCCCCTAGTCCAAAGTTTTCACACTAGAAAAAAAAGAGGCTTCATGGGTACTTCTGTTTGCTGCCTGTGTCCCTGGTGATCACTTCTTCCATTAAAAGGCTTTAATATTGTTCTTTCTAGGCCTTTTTAGCCTTGAGAAAGTTCCTAGAATGGGTCTTTTTTTGTTGTGGTGGTTCATTTTGTTTTTCTTCAGCTACTGCATTCCCAAGGTTGGCTTATTGGTGAAGGATATGAGCCCACTCATTTTGCTGTTCTCTTCCTTACAAGGTACCACTGGGACCAGGTTCCTGCACTTTCAAAGCAAAGAAGGGTGGGGAAAGTGGAACTTAATGGGAAATCTGATTCTAAATAGTTTTGTTTGGCTTGGACATACAAACCTGTTTTGAAGCTGTTGGCATTGGGCACCCACCCAGTTTCAGGGACTATGGGAATGACCAACTTATTAAGATAGAATACTGAACAGTGAAGCATGTTTTGAGAGAGAGATCTTGGATGCTAAAATGCTAACTGTGATAGCTCCTGAAACATCTTTCTTTGTAGATTTCCCTGGGCTCTTACATAACTCAGCATTCACCTATTCCCTGGCTTTCTGAAATATTCCTGTTTTAGCAGCATGGTAAACTAACCTACAAGCCAGGGAATGAGCCTACAGACCACCTTGTTTCTGGCCCCTGTTCCCTTTGGCAGGAACACTGATTATCAAACATGACCAGGGCTTTAGAATATAAATGCTGCTAAAGGTACTGCAAGTGTAATGGCAAAGCTCTCTTCAGCTTTTAGCAGGTTTCTTTCTCCAAGATCATTCTGTGTATTCCTGAAATTGTTTGCCTATGATCTATTAATAATGAGTCCAGTGTCTCCTTTTCAGTGAGTTTCTTGCTCTGGGGCAGGGGTTGGCAAACTATAGTCAGGAGCAGATACTCGTTTTTATAAATAAAGTTGTTGTTTTTTTAACATAGCCACACTCATTCATTTACACATCTGTGGCTAGTTTTGTAGTACAATGGCAAAGTTGACTGCAAAACCTAAAATATTTATTACTATGTGGCCTTTTTTGACACAATCAATAGAGCAAATAGACAACCTACAGAATGGGAGAAAATATTTGCATACTATACATCCGATAAAGGGCTGATAACCAGAGTCTACAAAGAACTCAAGAAAATCAGCAAGAAAAAAATCAAACAAACACATTAAAAAGTGGGCAAAAGTCACGAAGAGCAACTTTCCAAAAGAAGACAGACTAATGGCCAACAAACACATGAAAACATACTCAACATCTTTAATCATCAAGGAAAGGCAAATCAAAACCACAATGAGATATCACCTGACTCCAGTGAGAATGGCTTCTATCAAAAAGCCCAAAACAATAGATTTTGGTGAGGATGCAGAGAGAAAGTACATTTTTACCCTGTTGGTACGACTGCAAACTAGTACAATCTCTATGTAAAGTAGTATGGAGATACCTCAAAGAATTAAAAGTAGATCTACCATTTTATCCAGCAGTCCCACTACTAGGTATTTGCCCTAAGGAATAAAAAGACATTTTATTAAAAAGAAACTTGCACTCAAATGTTTATAGCAGCACAGTTCACAATTGCAAAGATACAGAAACAACCCAAGTGCCCATCAATACATGAGTGGATTAATAAAATGTGGTATATGTATACCATCAAGTACTACTCATTTTTAATACTCAGTATTAAAAAACAATGGTGATCTAGTGTCTTTTGTAACAGTATGGATGGAACTGGAGATGATTCTTCTTAGTGAAGTGTGACAGGAATGGAAAAACAAACACCATGTGTTTTCAATACTAAATTGGAACTAATTGATCAACACTTATGTACGCCTATGGCAGTAAAACTCAAGGAAAATCAAGTAGGTGGGACGGAGGGGTGGGTATATTCACTCCTAATGGATACAGTGCAGACTAACTAGGTGAAGGGCACACTTACAACTTTGACTCAAACTGTACAAAAGCAAATTATGTAACCAAAACGTGTACCCCTGTAAAGTACTGACATAAAAAAAAAATACCGTATGGCCTTTTAAGAAAAAGCTTGCCAGTCTCTGCTTAAGGGCAGACAACTGAAAATGTTCCTTTTTAAAATGGGCTTAGATGAAATAGGATTTTCATATACTAATGATATATAATGCTTATTATTGAAGGAGATGACCAAGGATAAGAGATAAGTTTTGAGCATGTTGCTAGTAAATGGGGATAGACCTGTATCAGAGCATTAAAGTTCGACCAGGAATAGATGTTTTTGTCCTTGATTACTTTCCTCATTATTTCCTCAAACCTTTGGTTCGTTAGAACTATTTCACAAGTTGATTCTTTTGATCTTGTGTTTCCTCTTTTTAGAGAGTACTGAACATTGAGCCACTGATTTTCCTATACTAAAGTTTTATGTATTTGTGAAGGACATTTTCTAATAAGGCAGTTATGTGTTTTCAGTGCTGGCGTTTCTCACTGTGGTCTAGGATGTGAAAGAGGTGTTTATGATCTCTACTGCAGACATCAAAAACCATGGAGCATGCTAATTGAATTGTATATGTGTGCAGAGTTCTCCATCTGTTCAGAGACTAAACTTTGATTTTAGTGTCTCAGGGGAGTTCTTTACATTATTCTTTTCATTTCCAAGGGCTAAGATAAGGGTAAGCCAAAAAGTTAGATGCTTAAAAAAAGAGATAATAGAAATACCTATTTTTTTCTCTTCTCCAGAGGGAACGTCCACCACCTCCAGCAAAGCCACCACCTGATGAAGAGGAGGAAGACCGAATAGATAAGAAGTATTTTCCCTTGACAGCTTCTGAGGTAGAGGGTTGAGGGTTTATTCCCATCACTGAAATTTGAGTTAGTTGGAAAGTGCATTGATGTGTGCTTAAAGAAGACTTTGCTTTCTCATTTTCTTATCACCCCTTTGGATTGTAAATTTGTATTGTATGTATTAGTAATCTGGAACAAGACCTTCAAACTCAAATACTAAACAAAGAATTTTAATATAGCTCTCTAGCAGATAAGCCAATTATTGATCTACCATACCACATGGAAAGTGAAACATGCACATTTTCTCCTGGCTCCAATAAGCTGAACAGTCTCACTTTTTGCTTTTATACCTATGTTGTCTTTTTTTGTTTGTTTTTTGAGACAGATTTTTGCTATGTTACCCAGGCTGGCCTTGAGCTTCTGGCCTCAAGAGATCCTCCACCTCAGCATCCTGAATAGCTGAGATTACGAGCATGCACCACCAAGCCCACTCTACCTGTGTTGTCTCTAGATTCAAGATACGGAATTTCCCCAATCCCTATACTCTAGACTGTGCCACATTAGCAGGTTTTGGTGGTTCTGCCCCAAATGTTTTAGTTCTGTTTTTGCATTTTCTCTGTTCATTTCACATGAACACACTATACCAGAACAAATGTGGATTGAGTCATGAAGACTCAGAAAAGAAATAAGAATTGTATGGGATGGACAAGTAGGAAGATTCAAGAAGGTTATTTGAAAAGAATAGTCTACGTTTTAAAAAAGAAATGTTATAGGCCGGGCGCTGTGGCTCACGCCTGTAATCCTAGCTCTTGGGAGGCCGAGGCGGGCGGATTGCTCAAGGTCAGGAGTTCAAAACCAGCCTGAGCAAGAGCGAGACCCCGTCTCTACTATAAATAGAAAGAAATTAATTGGCCAACTGATATATATATATAAAAATTAGCCGGGCATGGTGGCGCATGCCTGTAGTCCCAGCTACTCGGGAGGCTGAGGCAGAAGGATCACTCAAGCCCAGGAGATTGAGGTTGCTGTGAGCTAGGCTGACGCCACGGCACTCACTCTAGCCTGGACAACAAAGTGAGACTCTGTCTCAAAAAAAAAAAAAAAAAAAAAAAAATGTTATCATGGGACAAATAACTCAATCACTTAAGTGTGTGAAGAAAATTGTTTTCATTGATCCCCCTTTTTGTCTTCAAAATGCTCTTTTAACACTTCCTGCTGTTCAGAGAATATATTTATGGAATATTTATTCAAAATATTATAGAATTTTAATAGTCATTTTGTAGCTCATTCAATGGCCTATTGTTTTCTAATTTAAAAAACAGCTGATATAAACCAGTTAATTAAGTCTTATCACTTTATCCCTAGAAGTCATAGTTAACAATTTTTTACAGTATTGCCATGGATCATCAAGATAGGTTCTTTTACTCAATATAAACACAATGGAACCAGAAGGACAGCTTTAGTTTAACAAAATATATTTATGAGGAAGCCATTTTTAAAATGTAAAAGTCATTGTTGGAGATAGGGGAAGATATCTGTGCTAGGTACAAATTCTGTCCTTATTTATTCTATCCCTTAATTATAAGTACTTATTGTCTCAGCTGAGGGTCTCTAGCATTGCAGTCTCTTATTATTACCTCTGAATAATAATACATTTCGGTAGATACAAGTGCATGTAGTAAATCCCTATACCTTTTTATATAAATATAAGTTTGCTTCCTTACTTTCTTTTTTACAAGGATAAGCTTAGTAATATGAAGTATATTCAGTTAGGGCTGTGTCTCTATGAATGCCTTGTGCTACCTCTTTAACAAATACTTGAATTAAAATTCCTAGTACCCAAGGATAGGGGCAAGGCTCTTAAAGAAATACTGGATTGTACTCAGGACTTTCTATTCTCCTAAGACTTTCTAAAGCGTACAATTTGGCAATAACACAGTGTCAAGAGGTGGGGGTAGGGGTGGAGGAAGAAATCTCTGTATTACTCTTCTAGATGGGAGAGTCTGTCTGAGATACATTTTCTAGAACTTGCTTCTGAATAGCCTGGAATTCTGGATCAGTTGGACCAGCAGCGTTGGTATTTGGAAGACGATGAGAGCCCTGAGTTTGCTTATTTACTGGTGATTATAGGTACATGAATCTAGAGGTAATAAGGCCTGGGTCATTATCCTTTTAATGATCTAGGCATATTTTGTTCATATGCTATAGTTTGAATGGATAAATTTTCTGTAAAAGTGTACTGATTTTTTTTTCTTTTTAACTCTGTGGTCTTTCACCATCTTTTCTTATACTCTCAAAACTTTAATATCCTAAACCTCATCTCTCAGGAGATACAGGCTTCATTAAACTTAGGCTTTTTTTTAGCAAGCAATCTGCCCCAATGTTTTTATCCCTATTCCTGAGGCTTGTCTTTGTCACGTGACCTATAGAAACCCATAGAAACCTTTAGGGGAAGCTGGAGGGAGCATGCCTGGCTCTAGAAGAGCTTTTCAGAGAAACGACCTGATCATGAAACTGGCTTTAAAAAATTAGACACGTGCACTCACACATGCTATTTAGATGTTTTTGTCCCGCCGAATGGGCTGCCAGCTGCATCGGGACTGCAGTCTTCTCTCTGTTCAGATGTTCATGTGCTGGATGTTCATGGCGATTGCAGCTGCTGTGGTATCTCTTCCCGGAAAGCTGCCCACACTCCAACTGGACATTCCATTGGTCCCAGTTAGGTGGTGACTGCTCATAGCTTTTCTCTGCAGCAGAAATGTTGCTTTCCACATAGCAAAAAACATATATTTTGGCTTTGATTTACTGCCAGCCCTGGAGGAAAGGGGAAAAAAGATTAAGGAGTAATTTAGTAAAGAGCAGAATCCTTTCTGTTGAAAATCACTTATTGCCATATTCACTATGACATAGCGCTTCCTGAGTGGGAGCTGGGATGGCTCAAAGAAAAGCAGTTTATTGCTTTATTGTGAGATTTTAATCCAATAGCTGGTAGGGGCAAGCACCAAGAAGAAAAGATCACCCTATGTCTCATCTGGGTATTAGCAGGGACTCTCATCAAACATCTGAAGGAGGGAAAGGGTTCTAAATTGGATGCAGAAAAAAACAAAAGGTAAAACAAATGAGGCCAATAGGGTGCAGAATCAGGGGAGTTGCGTTTTATGGTGGTGGCTCTGTGAGAAGCTCTCGGGGAACCTTGGGCAAGCCTCTGGACCTCTCTGTGAAGCAGTGTTGTCATCTGCAAATGAAAGGGCTGGAACCAGGTGCTCTCTAGCTGTGACTGTGCTGGTTAGGGTCTCTTCCAGCTCTGATATTTGATGATTCTCTGCTTCCATTTTCCTGCACAAGAGCCAGACACAGAGCGAACACAGGTCCAGTAGGCCTGATTTTCCAGATGGGAGTCATCAGCCCTTGAGAAGAAAGGATATTATAGGCTGGGCATCCAGGCTGTCAATTACCTCTCAGGGATGCATGCCTGGGGCTACATGAGAGCTCTTGCTGTGTGCAGAACACTCCCCCAGTCAGATTTCCAGAGCGTTGCATAAATGATAGCTATGGGCATGTAAACCTGCAGAACACAAATTCCTGTCTGTAAAGCCAGTGGTATTAAGTTGACACAGTGTGAACTGCCTAATGGTCCCTCTTTTTCCCCTTAATTGTGTTCCTGAAGAGGCCAGGAATAAGTAATAGGGGCAAATGGCTTATTGTAATGAAATAGCTTTTAGCTTCCAGGTAGCTTGCAGTAAGTGGAGGTTCCTGCTGTGCTTAGCAGAATTTTGGAAAGAGACTATGCTTTTCTGCCTTTAGTGTGGCAGCCTTGTTAACAAACAGGAGCTGCAGTTTCTCTTTAGTCTGAGGCTGCTACAGTCCTTGTCTCATTAGGCCATAACACAGCGAGCTCTGCCTCGAAGAAGCAAAACCCTGGTGAATCACAAACTTGATGCATTTCCAGTGAGCTGTGGGATGTGTCAGTGTGGGAGGAGGTTTCTGTGTATGCCACAGAATCACATTTATAGGGTTCCATTCATTATTTGTTAGGTGGAATTGGGAATTCCTCTCACTCCCCCACCCTCTTATTCATAATACATTACTCGTAGCCAAATTGCTCAAAAAGATCTTGTGCTTTAGTTTGCTCTTCTCATAGCTTAGAATTAATGCTAACTTATTCCTTTCTACCCAGAAACACATTGGACTCTTAGGACAGCTGCACCAGAATGACCCTCTAAAGCAAGGATCTCCGTTCTCTCTTTCAGTAGGGCTGTGGCATTATCCATGCTGTTTCTAGCTTGGTTCGAGGGAAAGCATGGCTATTCTGGTACTATGACTAGCTGTGGCCACCAGGCCCTCAGGTGACCAAAGCCTGATAGTTGTCAGGAGTAGGAGGCAGTTTGGGCTCAGTTATTTCATCAGAGACAGCTGGCTGCCTGGATTAGGGATTTCTCAGTGGACAGAGCTGTTTTTTCCTTACTGAAATTCAAACTTTCTAGCTACTTGACTCTTCAGAGCAGAGATTGGTAAAAGTAATTTAAAACCATTATTATCATAAATGTGGTAGAAAGCCAGCTTTTGAGAAATCATTCCCTATAACCCCCAGGACCTCTGAAGAAAGGCTCACAAAAATAGAAATGGACTTATAGACTACTTGGTTCCTAGTAAATGTCGAACATTGAGGGTCATTCATTTTGGTTCCTCCTTAGGAAAGTGGGAAGGAGTCCAGCCTTCGGATAGTATATGTGCATATTAGGAAGGAAATGTGGAGAAGGCTGGCCTTTATGATGGAGCATGGCTAAAAGCTGCTCAGGAGGCATTATCCACAGAAGAGAGATCATGTAGACCAGCTGTCCCCAACCTTTTTGGCACCAGGGACCAGTTTTATGGTCAATTGGACAATTTTTCCAATATGGACAATTTTTCCATGGTTTTGGGGATGGTTCAAGCACATTACATTTACTGTGCAGTCAAACCTCTCTGCTAATGATAATCTGTATTTGCAGCTGCTCCCCAGCACTGGCATCACCACCTCAGCTCCACCTCAGATCATCAGGCAGCAGATTCTCATAAGGAGCACAACCTAGATCCCTCGCGTGTGCAGTTGACAGTAGGGCTCGCACTCCTATGAGAATGTAATGCTGCTGCTGATCTGACAGGAGGCGGAGCTCAGGCGGTGATGCGAGCCATAGGGAGCAGCTGTAAATACAGATGAAGCCCCCCCTGCTGTGAGGCCCAGTTCTTAACAGGTCACAACTGGTAACAGTCTGTGGCCTGGGGTTTGGGGACCACAGATGTAGACCACTGTGGACATGGGAGAAGCAAGAGAAGGAAGGATCTTGGGTTTTACTTACAATTTTTAACAAATAAAGTGAGGCAGAGAAAGGGGAGCATTATGTTCAAAGGCCATTGAGATTTGAGGTACAGGTGTATATCCAGAAAGGCAGTTGTGACTTTATGTGACACTTGAGTTATTCACCTTCTCTTCCCTGCCTCCCTTCCTCTCAGTTGAAAAAGGAACCAGTAATCTCAAATTTGTTCAACACCACCTATCTTACTTTGAGCCATGTGCACTAGATGGACTGGGTGTTTCTCTCTCTTAGGTTCTGGCCGTGAGACCCAAGATTCAGGGGAGTGCGGCCAGGGAAGAGGATGAGCACCCTTATGAGCTGTTGCTAACGGCAGAGACAAAGAAGCTGGTATCAGTGGATGGAAAAACAAAAGGTACATTCCCCTCAACTCCTCAGCAGAAACAGTTCCAAGGGGATTTTGAAAGGATGTGATCTTGGGCGGAAGGGGAGGATGATGTAGCAACGATGTTCCTTGGGTGGGGGAAGTGCATTACGGCTTTTGTTTTCCATGCCTGAACTGTATGCCCTGGGTTGGAGTTGGCTGCCATCTCCATCACAAGAAGCAAGGAACAGGTTAGATGAGACAAGGTGGTAACTGTGGGAGGAGAGACCGCCAGTGCTGTGGCAGAGATTGACTTGGGGTCTCAAATCATAAACTCTTGAGCTAATGCTGTGGAAAAATAAGCCCAACAAGTCAGTCCCTTTGGGTTCAGGCTGACAGCACAGACTCTGCTTTTGAGTCCTGACCTCAGAGTGAGAGACTCCTGGGGAGGGGCCGTGATTGGCTGCCACCCCGTAACTAGAGTGCTCTGTCGCCTTGGCCTACTTTCATTGCCTCTGCAAAATTCAGTTTCCTCTGTGAGGGAGTGAGTGCTGCAGTACTGAGATCCAGCCCATCGATGTAAATGTAGGCACGACAGAGGTGAGTGTGCACTGCTGGAGAATTTGTGTCACCCTCGTTCACCTAAGGAAGAACAAGAAGGGGAAATGCAATTCCCATTGCGGTTTTAAGGAACTCTTGTGGCTTTTCCCAGCTCTCTATAACTTGCAGGTAATGGGTCCTTTGTGGGGTATTAATGCCTCCGTTCAACCCTACGACAGTCCGTGGTTCAGGTAAGAATGGGGGATGAGGTGTTTTCCTTTGAAATACCCTTTGCTAGACCTGTCAGAGGGTAGGGGTGTCAAGACGTATGCATACATGTATGACATTGTAGACCTTATTTTTAATGCTTCTATTTAAAAGGTTTTCTTTTCTGTCATGCAGAAACTTTGTGGTCATTTTCATTGTAGTGTTTTTGTTTTATTTTGTATTTTATGGTTTCCATTTGGAGCTGTTAAAAAAGTTATAATTTAGAGATGGCAAAAGTTACCCTTTTTTTGTATACAGTTCTGTGAGTTTTAACAAATACAGTTGTATAACTGCTACCATAATCAAAATACAGAATAGTTTCATTACACAAAAAAAATTTTCCATGTCTCTTTGTGGTCAGCCCCTCACCCTTCCCTCATCCTTGGCAACCACTGCTGTGATGTCTGGACTAATTGTTTTGCTTTTTCCTGAATGTCATATAAATGGAATCACACAGTCTGTAGGCTAGGGACTCTGGCCCCTTTCACTTAGCATAGTGCATTTGAAACTCATCCATGTTGTTACATATACCCTTAATTTGTTCCTTTTCATTGCCGAATATTATCCGACTGTATGGATATACCTCAGTTTATCCCTTCCCTAGATGAGGGGCATTTGGGTCATTTACAGTTTTTGGCAATTACAAATAAAGCTACTATCAACATTCACGTACAGGCAAGGCTTTTGTGTGAACATAAGTTTTCATTTCACTTGGATGTTATACCTAGGAATGGGATGGCTGGGTCCTAGGAAATATATGTTTAACTTTATAAGAAACCACCAAACCATTTTTCAGAGTGGTTGTACCATTTCACATTCCCATAATACTACTTCAGTTGCTATGCATTCTCCTCAGCGCTTAATATTGTCAGGTTTAAAAAATTTTAGCCATTCTAATGGGTGTATAGTGATATCTTACTAATGGATTTGATTTGTATTTCCCTAATTACTGATGATTTTAGCATCAGTTAATGTGATTATTTGCTATCCTTCTATCTAAGGAAATGTCTGTTTAAATCTTTTGCTTATTTTAAAAAATTACTTTGTTTTCTGATTAAGTTATGAATTCTTTATATATTTTTGATCAAATTCTTTACCAGATATGTAGTTTTCTCCCAGTTTGTGACCTGTCTTTTTATTCCCTTAACAATGTCTTTTTAAGAGCAAAGGTTCTTAATTTTGATAAAATTCAGTTTATCCTTTTTTTTAATGGATAAGGTCACAAATATTTTTATTTTATAGCTTTAGTTTTACATTTAGATCTATGATCCATTTTGAGTTAATTTTTGTATATGATGTGAGGTATAGATCAAGATTCTTCTTTTTTACATATGGATATCCAATTGTTTCAACACTATTTGTTGAAAAGACTGTCTTTTCTCCATTGAATTGCCTTGGCAAATTTGTTATTCTTTTTTCAGAGTTGTTTTAGATGGTCTAGTTCCATTGTCTTTCAAATTTAGATTTAGCTTGTTGATTTTTACAAAAAGTCCCGCTGGGATTTTGATTAGGATTGCATTGAATCTATATAGTAGTTTGGGAAAAATTGATAACTGTATTCAATCTTCCAGTCAGGTTGGTAGATTTTTAATTAAAACATTTAATTAAAAATGGGTGGAATAGAAGACCAATGCTCTCTCCAGTCATGTGATAATAAATCATACTGAAATTAACCCTTAAAGAACAAGCAATTAATTTAATGCTCTGAAAATGGTTTTTAGTGAGGAGAGAATCTTTAGCATCATGGAGCGAGATTCCAATTCTTTCTCTTTCAGAGGTTTCATCTGGAACTACTACAAGATAGCTGGCTCAACTTTTGGAAGAAAGAAAAGGGGAAAGTCAGACAAACTTCATAAATGGGGCTGGTCTCCTTGGCTGCCAACTGCCCTTGATAGGGATTTTCTCTCCCCAGGTCTAGATATCTTCAGATTAAGAAGGGAACTACCAAGGAAGCCTTAGGACCTCACATCTGATCCTCCTTTGCTTTGGTTTCTTCCAGCTCTGCAGTATTGGGCTGAGTGTTGCTAGTAGATGGTGTAGGAAGCAGATTTAATTGAACCACAGCCTGTGAGGTGAGCCTGTCTCCAGGCTTGCTGCTTGGATCACTCAAAGAGCTTTCAGACAAAGGGACTGAGATATTAAATATGAAAATGGGCTCTGCCAGTTGCTCAGAAGCCCTGCCTGGCCTGGCAGCCTGGCAAGAAAAGCTGGCTTGGAAGAATGCCTGCCAGGGTTGGTAAAAGTGAGGTACAACAGCAGACCACATTGTGGGTTAGTAAATACTAAATCTTTTCGGCTTGTCCGTTAATGTCATTATCTTATGCAGCTTTTATGAATTAATTGATTAGTGTTCCAAAGGCCTTGTTCATGAGACTTCCTGAGCTTTTAACCCCTCTTTAATATAATTCACGAAACTACATTGTGAGGGGTAAGATGGGAGATTTTCTAAATTACATTTTTAAATTCTGTTAGAATATGCTCACTGAAAAGAAAAAAGCATTCGGACTTACAAAAGTGAATATAAATATGATGCTAAGGTTCTTCTCACCTCCCTGCTACTCAGTTGTAGAAGTAACCATTTTGAAAGTGTGATGTATGCTTTAGGGCCATTTGCTGTCTTGGTACACAAGTGACTATGTGAAATTCTTTTGTTTGTATTTAACCTAACAAGGGATCATATTTTAGAAACTGTATAACAAACTTGTTTTTTGTATTTACCTTGTCTATAGATCATGGATACAATTTTGTCTTGATTCTTAAAATCTACTTACTCTTTTTTAATGACTGTTAAATATCCCATAACTCATTTTTCTATTCTCCATTTGATGGATATTTAAGTTGTCTCCAAGATTTCTCTGTTATGAATTGTGCTGCTGTGGACATTCTATACACATGTTCCTATATGCTTACAAGAGTAATTCTCTAAAAGAGATTGATAGAAAGTAGAGTTAGCAGGTTAGAGTGTATGTGCATGTTTAGATCTAATTGGTGGAGCTAATTGCCTTCTCTTAATGATGAAAGAGCACCCTCTTCATACCTTCACCTACAGCATGTGCTTTCACTATTTACTGTTTCACACCAGGACAAGCAAAAAAAGTGTCTTTTGAGATTACCATTTGCCTAATCTAGTGAAATTGAGCATTTTATCTTATTGATTAGTGCTATATATTTAGTCTCTGAGTTAGCTATCTTTTTTCTTTCTATTTTTCCAAATAGAAATTAATAGTACTGGAAATACTTTTTATAAATACCTATAATATTTGGCTGAAGGGGTACTCAGGAAAGTTTATATCTTAAAGTCATTTGTTAAAAAAACAAGAAAGATTAAAACTTAACCAAAGGAAAGTAGCAGAGAGTACTTAATGAGAGATTATTAAGGGATTATTAAAGAGATAAAAGCAGACAGTATACTTCATATATTTTACGGTATGCATGTCATACTTTATGGTTTACTTTATGATTAACATGTTAAAGAAAGAAGAGCAGATATAATGAAGTAAAGAAACTGAAAGAGACTTGATCATTAAAATGAAAATGTGTTTTTTTAAAAAAGATTTCCTACAGTTCTAATCAAGGGAAGAGAACAAAACCGCTACATGTAGGAATGATATAAGTATAACCAAAAATTCAGAGATTTTTATAAATTAATAGTAAGAGATAAACTTTATAAACTGGGAGAGTTTTTGGTCCTTTATAATGACTGGTTGGAGTGGGTTGCTGCTGGCATTTAGTGCCTGCTGACCAGGAATGCTAAGCATCCTGTGCTATGCAGAACAGTCTTTCATAGGGAAGAATTTTCCCACCCAGAAAGGCCATTTGTGCCTGTACAAATGACAAAAACTGACAGAAGTAGAAAGCTTTAATAGATCCATGAAGTAGAGAGCCCATCCGCTTCAAAAAGACACTAAGCCCACTTAATTTTGTGATAGTTTTATTCAACTGGGTATTCCTGTTACTTAAATGGTTTCAAATACAGAAAAAGTCTTCTGAAGTCATTACACAGGACAGGCGTAACTGAGAGCAGTGTTTCCTGTTTTGCGTAGCATGGTCATCTATTTCTGTTCAGGGTGGGTCTCTGCTCACTGGACACTCTGGACGTATTACCATTCAGAGAAACCGTGGACAACTTTCCAGATTTGATAGCACCTGGGAAAGTAGCCAGGAGCTCTAAAAGTCATATTGTTCTCTGTGGTGCTTTTTTTACAGCATCCACTGATAGTGTTTGGGTCCAGGTGAAGTGGTGC